CAGCGGCACAAACAGCTGCCCTGATGTTTACACTGCAGCAGCTGTATTCTGTTCTTCTTCAATACTGCATCAATTCCTAAGATCTTTGTCGCTTTCAACAATTTACACCCAAAAACAGAGGACACTAAGACCCAGCTGCCAAAAGCTCCTCTGGACTTTCAATCTGATTTTACACATGAGGGTCACCTGAACGGACCAGGTTTCACCTCTGACCCTGAAACATTCCAAACAATAACTCAACATTCAGTTTAGCGTCCTGCAGCTGGTTCACACACACATAACTTCACTTACAGCCGAAAGCATGAAAACCATGAATATTCATCAAAACAATGTCAGATCCTGGAGGAGCCTGCAGTGTATCTGTTGTTCCTGTGGACCAAGACTCCATCTTTTTACACAAACGTCCTCTAATCCTGAGACTGTACTGTTTTTAAATTGACATAATTCAGTGTTTCTGAAATGAATAATTGAAATGGATTAGCTATAACGTGACCACGGACCATACAGAGTTCAACAAGACACAACTAGAAATTTAATGAAATGTAAATGAAAATGACCAAAATGTGGTGAGAGGAGGAGAGAAGGAAACATATATGCAATAATAATACTTTCCCAAAATGACCTCACTTTCTAAAAATATTCTGATTTTCAACAATAGTTTTTTTTTCATCTGTATAAAGAAGCCCTGAGAAAAAATAGTTTTTTTCTTTCTTCCCGATTCCGTTTTATCCTCATTTTTCAAAAATATCTTCACTTAAAAAAACGTCTAAATTTTTCAAAAATGTTGACTTGTTAAATTTTTTTCAAAAAATTTCTCAACTTAAAAAAAAAATCTCTCACTTCCCAAAAACGGCCTCAGTAGAATATCCTGTTCCCCTTTCTCTGTCCACGTGTAAAACTGGTTTTACAAACTTATAAAAATTCTTCCGGCCATAAAGCTGCAGTCAGTCTTCCACAGGCTTTACATGAACATTAGAGGACAGGTAACCATGGCGACGCCACTGAAGATTTGCCTGTGTTGTGTGTGTGAGACAGCAGCTCGTAAAAACACAAAGACAGAGGCCGAGTGTGCGTGCGTGATTTATTTACTTTCAGACGCCTGACAGGACCACATACCTATCACTGCACACACAAGTTCACCTGTGACTCCTGAACCACAGGTAACATGCCCCTGGCTCTTCCCCCTCCCCCTCCCCCTCCCCCTCCCTCTCTACGCCAAAAACAGTGACAGAAACTGAAAACCAGTCAGACTGAAAAATAGTGACAGCACAAAAAAACTGTCACTGGAAAAAATCTGCAGATTGAAAACGCATCAATATACAAAGAATATCAAAGCTAAATAAGATAATAAGATTGTAGTTTTAATATCTGCCTTTCATTTTTATATGACATATATGCCCCTATATCAAGAGTGATGTTGCCATATGTGACACCTATAAGAGGAAATATTATTATCACATATATACATCCTCTGGATATATGAAGATATAAGTTTATAACATATATGAAATACCTATAGTAAAATTAGTATATGTATATATATATATATTAAAAATATCTGTGAAGAATTTCAGGCTGAGGGATAGATATATATTTATGTGACCTATGTCTAAAATACATACATAAATGTATATATTTGTATATGTTTCATCAGAGTGAGAGTACTACAATGCAATAAATCGGGGGGGGGGGGGTACAGCGCAGACGTGTGCTTCGGTGAATTGAAGTCCTAAAATCTTTACAGTACCACGTTTGTTTAACTTAATGTCTACAGTCTGTAGATGATGACGAATCAAATCCATAACAGCAGCACATGAAGCATGAACCACGTCATCAGGGCCAGCACATCAGACCCACAGACAACAACTGACCGTGTCAGCAGGTGAATCTGAAGGGTCATCACAATTCATCAGAAAGGAAAGAAGAAGAAACAAACGACTGTTTTCAGTTCTCATTCTATAATCTTTGACTTATGGTGAGATATTTGATAATTTCAACATTTATGGAAATGAAACCACGTGAGAAGTTTAGAGGGAAACATCACTATTTGTTGGACTGTGAACCACTCAGACGTCTGACGTGTGACCACCAGTCAAACACTGCTTTTTGTAAGATGTAAGGAGCCAAAGAAGTTGAAATGTATTTAATTACTTTCCACCACTGCTGATACAATTACTGAGCTTTCATCACATGTGTATTTTAATATTCTTCAATCACCAAACCAGATAAAACTCCTGAATTCCTGAGTGAAAACAAAGAGGCTGTTTCTTCAAAACCTAAAAGCAAAAAGGTAAAAGACTAAATAAACCACCACAGACACACAACAGACTATTAACATGATTAATAAACTCTATATTGATGTTAAAACTTATCTCTAAAACAACTAATCCCTCACCGTCCCACTGCTCCTGACTGAGCACCAGTGTTTGCTAACATTAGATGTTGGTAATGAAATGACCAGCTAACACTGGGACTGAATGGGCGCTCTCAGCTAGCTAACATTAGTTAGCTAACCTGTAACTCGAGGCTAAAGTTAGAAACAACATGGCGCCAGCGTTCACCTGTAGATACTTCACACAATCTGACTCAGAAACTGTGTGTAAGACAGTGAAGTGTATTAAACCAACCGGACAGTTTGATACTGACACTTACATTTACCGTCACTTGATATAGACGCAGCGCGAGCCACTGACGCGAGTACGGAACGTTAAACAAGACGACGCAGGAAATAGGTACGGTCCACTTTGGGGGTTCTGAAATCGTATCACCAGAGATTCTTTCAAGCATGAATGTGGGAAATATATTTAAAGTTAAAATTACAGGTAAGAAAAATATATAGATGTGCAAACCCCTCTGTTGTTTTTACCCTGGGGGGGGGGGGGGGGGGGGGGGGGGGGCGGCGGGGGGGGGGGGGGGGGGGGGCGCTGGGGGGGGAGGGGGGCCGGGGGGGGGGGGGGGGTCCATGTCTAAATCGGTGGTGGTCAAACCCCCCCAAACCCTGGGATTCATGTATAATCTTTACATATATGTACATATAAAATAAAACCTTATATTTCATAAATGGAAATTCAGTATATGTATGTGGGCTGATTATTCCTGTATGTGTTGGCTGGTGGCTAAAGGTGAGCGGCTAAAGGTGAGCGGGCCCCAATGTCTGCATCATTACTGTCTTTCAAACTCTTCTTTTATCAGAAAGCTTTTATGAGTGTACGTGTTTTTTTCCCCATGATACAGACAATTTATATTTTCATGTAATTTTTTTTTGAATTTATAGTTTTATTTATTTTGCACAATTTTCAAACCACATAAAATGATAAAGAAAATAAACAGCGTACAGAGCAGGGAGCAGCATTTAAAGCCTTCACATAAGTAATGTTTAAATATCACAAAATTATTTAAAAAAAAATACAAAATGAACATACAAGAAAGTAACCTGCCCACATAAAAATGATGACAAACTAATAGAATCAAAATGTATATGATAAAATGAATAGCAATAATAACTATAAGATATTCCTTTATTAGTCCCACATTGGGGACTGTGTATATTTAGTATTTAATTGGACATATTATATTTTATTTTATTTTATTTTATTCTATTATAGTATTTATCTTCTTTAAGTATTTGGTTCTTGTTTTTCTTTTTTTGTACCGTCCACTTTGCTGCTGTGACGTGGGAAATCTCCCCACTGTGGGACTAATAAAGCAATAATATCAAAATAAGAGAAGAAAATGTGACAATGTGATGTGTGTGCAACATAAGCAAAACAGATAAGACATTAATGCATGGGGAAAAAAGTTCCACAAGAGCAGTTAAATGGTCTTAACTTACCTCTGCTTTATGATGTTTGTTTTTCTTTTGTTTTTAATTCACCTTTTTCTTTCTGTAAAGTTCTTTGTCACTTTGTTAAAACCCTCTGGAGTCAGAGTTGATCTTTTGCAGTTTCTCATTTTGTTCTGCACAAACTCTGGCCCTCCTGTAGAGTGTAAAGCTGTCAGAGAAATAACACCGGAGGCTGTAAAATCTTCAGTTCTAATCATGAGAATATGATTGCAGTTTAAGCTTGTAAAAAATATAATTTCATGTTTATACAAACAAAAACAGCTGAAAATAGAAGAAATAAAGCTCTAAAGTTACAGTCTGTTTAGGCCTGCACGGAAAGGGATTTTCTTCTGTACATTTTACATTAGAAATTTAACTGAAAATATTAATAATGTTATAAATTCACTATTTTAAAACTTTCATTTAATAAATAACAAGAGCCCGGGGTGGAGAATTAGCAGCAGCTATAAACTTTTACAGCTATAAAGTTTCGTGCTTTATTAAGAAACTATGTTAAATTGAATTTTCCCTATCAAATAAATAAATAAAGAATATAAGTAAAAATAAAATAAATACTTCTGGATCTGAATTTCAACACTTTTTCCCTCTAAACTTGACATAGACGTCTTGTCGCTGTGATCCAGCTGCAGGGTGAAGAGCCCGAATGAGGAGCTGCTACAAAGCCTTTCATTGTTTGCACAACAGGAGAGAGAGGGGAGTCTGTATGTAGACCTGCAACACACACACACACACACGCACACGCACACGCACACACACACACACACACACACACACACACACACACACACACACACACACTCAGAAACAACAGGCAGGTCGGGACATGCAGAGAGGAATCCAGAGGAGGGTCGAGGGTTTGAAATGTGTAAATATCTGGAGATTAGATTCCTCAGGTTTACAGAGGAACAGATACACCTGAACAAACGACATCACTGACTCACCTGAGAGACATTCAGATACAGATAATAGAGCAAACACTGATCCTCTGGATGTCACATCATTGTGCAACAGGCCTCCACTTCAAATTCCTGCTGTGTTTCGACTGTTTGTCATCCTCCTGCCACCTCAGCTTGTGGCCCCTACCCTGAGGCATGTGGGGGGGGGCGGACCCTGAGCCCCTCCCTCACTTTCAGGAGCCATAAAAGGAGCCGAGTCGAATCTCTGCTGCATTCCCTCCTCTCCATCCAGAGCAAGCAAACCTCCTCCACCATGGCCTCCTACTCTCGCTCCACCTTCTCCAGCGGAAACCGGTTCGGGTCCATGAGGGCCCCCAGCGTGTACGGTGGCGCCGGAGGCTCCGGGGTCCGCATCTCCAGCATGAGCGCTCCCAGAAGCTTCTCCTCCGCCGCCACCGGTGCCGCTGCAGGAGGTGGCTTCAACCTGGCCGACGCCATCGACATCTCCGACAACAAGAAGATGGCCATGCAGAACCTGAACGACCGGCTGGCCTCCTACCTGGAGAAGGTGCGCAACCTGGAGAAGGCCAATGCCGAGCTGGAGCTGAAGATCAGACAGTTCCTGGAGAACAAGACCAAACCTGAGGGCCACGACTGCACTGCATTCAAGGTGGTCATCAGCGACCTGCAGGACCAGGTGAGACCAGGTTCTGATTCTGCTCATTTTCATGTAGGGTAAGGATTGGCAAGGATTGACACATGAGATCATGAGCCACCTGAAACTGAAGATGCTCCGATTGTCTGAAAGCTTTTCGTGAAACGCCCCATGGCAGGTGCACAGTGTGATTTGTTGTTAGGTGCAGAATGAATACAGGTGAATACAGGTGCAGCCACACCCCTACACCACCTACAGCTGCAGCACCCGGCCTCCAGCTCTGGTTTTACATGATTTGCACATAAGAACAGAAACCACTAAAGCACTGAAGGGAAATTTGACTTTCATTTGTTTAGTCTAATCTCTTTTAAATCAATCTTGTAGCCTCCTCACAAACCTGGTTGCGTTCACCTTCTTTACACTCATGAGAAACAGGAAGTCAAGACAAATTCCAAAATAAATGTTACTTTTTATTTTTCGCATCATTTAAGACAAAGCTGCAGCCACTCCCTGGTGTCTGTTTGTCTTTGAGTCTCAGCACAAGCTGATCAAATGAAGCTGATCCAGTCTAACTCTGTCCTCCGTCTGTTTTCAGATCTTAGACGCCACCCGCACAAACGGGTCTCTGTACCTGGCCATCGATAACGCCAAATTGGCTGCTGATGACTTCAGGGTCAAGTGAGTAAAAACACTGCACATCCAGCTCAGCTCAGGTTTCAGATGTTACGTCATACAGCTGCAGCATGACGCCATGTTGGAATTCATGTTATTTACTGAGCTGCTTTTTGTGCCACGCCCCAACATCTACTGGTGCAGCCACAAATCGTTATCTTGAAGGAAGAGTTTGACTTACTGAGTTCAGATGTTCAGATTGATACCACTTTCATGTCTGTGCAGTAAAAATGAAGCCTCATCCAGTGGCTGGTTAGCTGAGCTTAGCATAAATACTGCAAACAGGGGGAATAGCCAGCGTGGCTTTATGAAGCAGCTGATGTGACTGATGCCCCCACCACTGCTGCTGCTGCACAGGTTTGAGAACGAGCTGGCCATGCGTCAGGGTGTCGAGGGTGACATCGCCGGGCTGAAGAGGGTCCTGGACGAGCTGACTCTAGGAAGATCCGACCTGGAGATGCAGATCGAGGCTCTGAGGGAGGAACTCATCCAGCTCAAGAAGAACCATGAGGAGGTGAGCACGAAACTGCAAACTACCTGTGATTCAAATTAGCTCAGTTCATTATGAAGCATTAAAAATTTCAACCAGTGACGTCTGGAGGATGCAGCTACTTCTTGATTAAAGAAGCCGCAGAAAATTTTGTTATAAAGGATTTTTTTTTATGGTTTTACAAAGTAGAAGAAAATCTTAAGTGACTTTCAAAAGTCCAAAGTCATGTTTTGAAACTGCAGATTTAGATTTGGACAAATGATTTAATTTAAATTAATATTTAAAAAAAAAAAAAGCAAAACAAGCTGCAGAAAATTGGAATCACATCCAAATAAACGATTTAAAAAATGTTTTTTCATTGATTACCTTTTCATTGATCTGGATGTGTTGTCCTGCAGGACCTGCTGGCTCTGAGGGCTCAGATGAGCGGTCAGGTGAACGTGGAGGTGGACGCCGCTCCTCAACAGGATCTGTCCGCCATCATGGGCGGAATCAGAGAACACTACGAGAACGTCGCTACCAAGAACCGCAGAGACCTGGACACCTGGTTCCAGGCAAAGGTGAGCTTCATAAAGTCTCCTGAATCTGTCTGTGCAAAGCATTTTGGGATCCTCATATCAATGCAACACAATTGTTTCAGTGCTTCAAAGTGTTTTCCACAATAAAAGTCCTACTACAGGCCTCATTTTCTCCTTTTGTGTCAAAAATAGGCCTTTTAATGTTGGGTACTTTTTTTCTGGTTTGTGCACAAAGTTGGGGGTCTGATGTCAGGTTAAATCTCTATTGGTCAAACTGAAAACAAAGTGAGTATCTGAAAAGTTAAAGAGCAGAATCAACTCAACAAGAGAGTGAGACATAAAAACACAGGTGTGAAATAAAAATGACGAACAATAGAGTATCGTCTGCATAGAGGCGGATTTAAAACAGACACTAACCTCCTCAGACTAACATTTTTTCTTTGTTTCTTTGTTGTTTTTATAGTCTGAGGAGATCAATAAGGAGGTTGCCGTGAGCACAGAGTCTCTCCAGTCATCACGCTCTGAGGTCACAGAGGTCAAACGCTCGCTGCAGGGTCTGGAGATCGAGCTCCAGGCACAGCTCAGCATGGTGGGTTTCTACCGTTTCTGGGTCCTTTTTTCAATTTCAGCCAACAGAGTCTGTGAATCTTCTGACACGGTTTCTTCTCCCTGTTAGAAAGCGTCTTTGGAGGGATCCCTCGCCGACACCCAGGGCAGGTATGCTGCCATGCTAGCGGGTTACCAGAAGCAGGTGTCCTCTCTGGAAGACCAGCTGGCTCAGCTGAGAGCTGACCTGGAGCGCCAGGGACACGAGTACCAAATGCTGCTGGACACTAAGACCAGGCTGGAGATGGAGATCACTGAGTACAGGAGGCTGCTGGATGGAGAGCTGTCGAGGTGAGTCCACCAGTCCATACTGGGATGATACTGGGATATATCAAACATGTGATATCAGCTACAGAAAAACAACTTAACATTAACAGTAATATATAACACTCAGAGGTTCATAGTTATTCTCCTCTAGTGACTCGTTTTTTATGAAGATGTCCAATCATTATTATGAAAGTTCATTTTTGCCCAAAAAGAAGAAAAATTGATAAAAATGATAGTGTGACAAAAATAAAAATGCATATAGTTTGTAACACTTAGAGATACTAAATTACAATTCTGTTCAAAATTATATGATAGTAAGAAAATAAAAAATTAGGAAGAAATTATGAAACAGTTTAAAGAAGTCAAAATGATCAAAATTGTTATAGAAAATAAAAAAGCTGATTCATGGTCTCATAATTTTCATCATTTATCATTTTCAACTTTTCAACAATTGAACTTCCATACTTCCACAACTTTTACTAATAAAAATAATATTAAAACCTTTTAAATAGAACTTTAAACAACAGACAAGAACAATGGACACAACATTATGAAAGACACATTTTAGCCACTTAAGTCCCTCGTGATCTTTGGAAACTGGTAGAAAACCAGTGAAACCAGAGAGAAAAATAATCAGTGAAAGTCAAATTTAACAGACAGTAAATGTTATTTTTGAGGATTAAAATTCAGTAATAAAGGCTTAATATGAAGATAGTGAATGAAAAAGTATTAAAATAATTAAATGTAATGTGTGTGTGTGTGTGTGTGTGTGTGTGTGTGTGTGTGTGTGTGTGTGTGTTCCTGCAGCCCGGCCTCCTCCACTTTGACTCGTAAAGTGCTGATTGTCACCAAAGAGGTGGTGGACGGTGAAGAGGTCAGCTCCAAGACTGAGGAGACTCAGTGAGACGACACACTTGTCACCATGCTGCCGACCGTTCTCAGAGACACTAATAAAACTCTTCTGATGAACTGACACGTGTGTGTGTTCTCTTTCTTACTGTTATTATATCATTTATATTATATATGTTAATACTGTCAATATGTCAAATATGACACTGACGTCATCTCTATATTGTATAATCGAGATAATGAGATATCAGGAGAAAGTAATTTTGACTGAACCTCATCCACTAAGTCGCAGTAATACTCCTTAGCAACACTCCCTAGTAACACTCCTTAGTAACTCGTTAGCTGATGAGGCCTGATCTGAAAATTATCTTGGATGAAAAGACTCAGCGAAGGAAACTTTTAAAATACTAAAAATCATAAACAGAGTTTTGTGTCGAGGCCGCAACGTGAAGAACACACACAATCAGTCCTGAGAACAACTGAACTTCATCCAGTGTCCTGCAATTACACCTGTGGCTGCAGGGGGCGCTGCTGTTCAGCAGACGTTACAGCAGAGTCACAGTAACAACACAACTGTAACAAAACACACACACACGGTAACAACACACACACACACTGTAACAACACAACTGTAACAACACACACACACAACTGTAACAACACACACACACACACTGTAACAACACACACACACACTGTAACAACACACACTGTAACAACACACACACACAACTGTAACAACACACACACACACACTGTAACAACACACACACACACTGTAACAACACAACTGTAACAACACACACACACAACTGTAACAACACACACACACACACTGTAACAACACACACACACACTGTAACAACACACACTGTAACAACACACACACACACTGTAACAACACACACTGTAACAACACACACACACTCTGTAACAACAGCTGTTCTGGCTCCGCGGTGTTGGAGGCCTCTGCCGGTTCTGCAGCGGCGCCCATCTCTGCCGGTTTGGTGGCAGTGTTGCTCTTCTGGCCTTGCTCGCCTGCCTCCAGGAAAGTAGACCAACCCTTCAGTCGCTCCTCTCGCTCCCAGGGCAGGGTTTGGTCATCACATCTCCCAATTCATTCTCTATGGGAATTTTTCGCCTTTTATCAGCATTTACGTCGCCATGGTTACTCAATCGCTAAGAAAAGTGACAGCACACCATTCCTGATCGAGCAGCACGTACCGATATATTGCTTTCTCAAGCGATGCCCATCCATCCACTGCACCACAGCACATGATGTGAGCTGCAAGAATAAAAGGAGGCACACATTACACATGAATCCTCACATACAGTAACAGCATTGTGTCCAATGGAAACTATTTACAACATTTTACCAGGGAAACAGTCAGTGTCCAGTCTTTGCACTGCACCATCCTGAATGCAGTTTAAGAATATCATTAAAAGAAAAGAAAAGAGTAAATAACAGTGATTCAGTTACCGTCTGTCATCTTTGAATATATAGACTTCTTCAGCCGTAGCCGCTGTCCACGACCTCTCAGCAGCAAACAGCAGAGACACGGTCCGACAGCAGCTGCTGAACATATGGAGCAATAAGAAGCTAAAGAGACAGATTTCCCTCAGCAGCTGGTGGAGACCAAACACAGAGCTAAAAGAGAGGGAACACTGACTGAGATCATCATGAGACATCAGCTGACACAAACACCACTCCAACTGCACAATGTGCAAATAATAAAAATTTATAAAATTAATGTCAATTAAAAGTTAGAAATGAAGATAGAAAACGTTTTCCCTCCACTCCTCCCACAGTCTGTCCACCAAACAGTCACAGTGTGACAACCTGCAATGTGAGTGAGGTCAGTGTCAATCTTCTGGGTCTGGACACACTTGCTGGCAGATGTATGACGTTGGCACCGGAGGTTGTTTCCTCCAGGCAGGCGGCCCCGCTCTGCCACAGCAGCTTCAGTCACCTTCCTTTCCTGTAGGCTCTGGTCCTGGGTTCAGGTAGTACTGCTGCTCCTCTCCGGGACACTGAAGTTAAAGGTCTGTCCTTGTCGCCACCTGGACCAAGGACAGACCTTTGCTGTAGGGAGAGTCTGGTTTAGGATTTTATTTTAGGATTTCATCTTTCATTAAAAAGATAAATCACAGAACAGATTCCAACACACCAACAGCTTCATGACAAACCTCTCACCACTGGAATCTCATTCAAATGCAAAGAGCTGGATGTTGGTCTGAGCCATCAACCTGGGCGCGGCCAGCACTGCCTCTCTGATGGCCACATGATCCCTGGAGACTGAATGACCAGCGAGTCCTCACGGTCCGCTCTGGACCACGTGGCCACCGGGTGAAGCCCGCAGAGCTGGTTGCAAACGGCCTCCACCAGGCGGCTAACACTGGCCCAGTTTGCAGGGCCGAGGTTCAGTCCAAGAAGACAGCTGAAAGATCATCAGAGAGCAGTGTGGTGTTAATATAGATCTGATATTCATTAGAGGAAACAGTGATATCTGAAGTGACTCTACCTCTGTCTGTCCGAGACACACACTGAGCAAGAGAGAGAGAGAAGCCAGAGCTAGCTGCTAAGCTAAAGTAACAATCAGTTCTAACAGCACATGTACAAATGCTGAATCAGTGAAGTTCGCTATAAGCAGCAGAGAGCTGTGGGTGCTGGAGCAAGAACTGGTCAGTTTAAATGTACAGCAGGTAGTTAGTCACTGTAATGAAAGAAAACAACAACATTAACTGTGTTCAGATAGAGCAGCAATAAACTCTACCGGAAACAGAAACTCCAGAGACCTGGCGATGAGACGCTACAGTGAGTCAGCACGTAAACGGTCACTCACTGCTGTTAATGAAAGGTGATGTACTCTGAGTAAACTGTTACTACTGCTTGCATTTTTTTAAAAGGGGAAGAGGAGGGTAAAACATCTTATATGGGGATGATGATGTGAGTTTATTACAGAGCGGAGACGGAGAGTTGACGTGAGGAGATGATTGTTGTGATAGCTTGAGTGTGTGAGTGTGCTCTGTGAGATTTTATATATATTCTCGAATAGAGCGGTGAGCATGGCGGGCACTACGCTATATTCAGATTCGATATGAGGTATTATAAGCTTCTGAGCACTAGTATATTTATTATATCTGCCTAGCGTTGGCTGCGTGGTCACGGTTCTCGGGTAAAGCACCATTGAACCTTTGGGTGGTGTGTTTACGATTATGACTTAGTTAATACAACTGTTGTATTGGGATTTCTGACATAAAAGATAGTGTAATGTTTGTCCACATATGTTGTCAGAACTATATGGAGAATACTGTGGAAAACAAGATAAAACTGAAGCTAAAAAACAACAGACCACCCCCCTCAGCTCCACAGCCCCCCCTCTTTCAGAGGTGACATCATCACCTCCTCATTATAGGAACCTTAACAGGCAAGATAGACCAATGGAGAAATGCCAGTTTCAGTTGTTCAGATCATCCCGGGGCTCTGAAGAACTATTTGTGAATAATTGGTTGATATTGTAAATTTACATCTGAATATATTAAATAAAAGTGTTATAAAGTCAATAGTGGTGTGTATGTTATTTGTAATTAAGTTTCCAACCCCACTTTAGTTGAAAGACTACATACAGAGACTTAACAGTTTCATTTGTATTTCTTCAGTTTATTATATTTTATGAGAAATGTAATAAAATTGATCTGAATCTGAATCAGTAAATATTGTATTTAGATTGAGCTTCTACAGGTTTTAACATTACTTTACACTTAAAGATTCAATGTTGACACAAATACTGCAAGTTGAAGTTTGAGATGATTTTAATGTTTAACACAGTATTTTTTACTTTGTCTTCAAAACAAAAGGTTTACTTTACAACATTAAGCTTGTGTTAATATTTAATTGATTGACACTTTTCACTTACAGGAAAAATCTGTAAAATAACAGTTTTCCTCTGTAGAAATATTAATGAAACTTTCTGTAAATTTAATGTTTTTACACTTTATTTGAATTAGGATGTTTTACTTTAATTATACGGTTTTGTTTGGCAGCTGCTGCTGACAGACATTTGACTGTCTTTTACGATTTTTTTTAGAGAGGAGCTTTCTCTCTCATTCTCTCTCTCTCTCTCTCTCTCTCTGTCTCTCTCTCTCTTTCGCTCTCTCTTTC